ACAGCATTAGTATCTATACATCTATATGTTTTACGTTATTTGTCTGGTACACAACATTCGTTGCAGACTGTACATCTGAGCATAAATTTGTCCTACTTCTCTTTCCCTCCCACCCTCACGCTTCCTGTTTGGACCGATCGTCTATCAACAAATCTCCACCCCAACTGCCTGTTTTTTTCCAAACATTTCATGCATTCTCTCCCATCGAAATTCGGGGCGTTGATCCTTATTGCTGCTGCTGTCCACGTGCTTGCAATGTGGATGTAGGATGTGAATGACGTGGCGCCTCGTTTCACCGTACCCCAACGGACTTTGTTCGTCTCAGAACGCGAACCGATTGGCTACCCGGTGTTCCAGCTCCAGGCCACCGATCCAGATACGGGCTACGGCGGTCAGGTAGGTGCTCTTCCGTTTGGAACAGGAGTTACACGCCAGCCTATATATAGAGGCTAGTTTCGTTTGTCGTCTACTCACTTCGAATTCATGCAGTCGGCACGTGTTCGAAATGTGAACAATATTAGATACACGTTGTCCATGTGAAGCAATGCTTGTTTAACAATAGGTAATCTGATTGCCTCGTTCCGAACAAAAAGCAATTGACTTAAACTTCGCCACGGTGTGTCTTATTCTGCCCACGGCTCAGTGTTGCGATGACTGGTTAAAAATTGTACTGAATGATGACTGGGAGAGAGAATTTATTTTAATTGTAATGTACGCAAACAATCGCGAAATGTGAGTGTTTAACGCGAGTAATCGATTACTTTTTTCTCCACTTACATGAGTTGTTGCTTAAATTTTCTCCATCTATCCTCACCTTATATGTTCAATGATTTCCGATGAAAATTGCGAAATGAACATGTGGGTTTCATCCAGACAGGGAGAAAATCTGTGCCTCCGTTTTTCACGAATCAGTTGGGCGCAACAGGTTTGCGGACGAACCGATTGAAAAACTCCCCACGGTTGCCTTTTTCCCCCGCTTCGCTTGTGTTCGGTTGAGTGACTAATTGCAATGGTTCACACCCAGGACCACACCCGTCCCACATTTCAAATCAACACAGTTCAGTTATTATCGAGTTGGTGATTCGTTCAACACCACCGCTCGCGCTCTTCTGTTCGCAGTCGATTCTGTTGATCAGTTCGCATTTAATTCACGGTTACTTGCGAGTAGTGTTGTGGAACAGTCGTTATTGATTGATGCGAACTGACCATCTTTCAGACTTTACCTTCACGCACATTCCTCAGCTCTTCCAGTCAACCATACACTCGGAAGCACTAGGCTCGAGTTTCGCTCTTGTTAGAGCTCATTAGCATTAAATATTCACTGTCCTATGCGAGATTTGACCTCCGGACCCATCACATGGAAGGTGAGTGTGTTACCACTGTGCTAATCAGCTCATGCCAGGGCTGAACCGAATTGTCAATTTATGTGTGTTCAGGTATCGTCTTCAGAGATAGTCAATCAATTCAATTTAGCCCGATTATGTTCAACTCAATGTTAGCAACTGCCTTGTATCTTATGTGCCCATCTGGTCTAACTTTGGTCACTCGAAACCCCTCTTGGACACGAAACTGTGTAATTAAACACTCTTTGCTGGTATTCTCTGCGAAATCTAAAGTACGGTCGAACGATATTCATGATTTTAGCTGTTCGCCGAACACATGCTGAAAGCCGTTTCCGCACCAGGTGGCTGATCTGATCATCATCATCATCATCATCATCATATATATATATATATATATATATATATATATATATATATATATATATGTGTGTGTGTGTGTGTGTGTGTGTGTGTGTGTGTGTGTGTGTGTGT